AGCCGCCCAGAGTCCCCCGTTGTGGGGAGATGGGCGGGGACAAGTCAAATAAATAAATAAACAAACAAACAAACTTTGGAGATCCCATGGGGACCTTGCACAATGGTTGTACTGTATTTAGATCGATGTTCTTCTCCCGCAATCTTGCTTCTATTTATTAAGTGTTTTAACAGGTGTAACATTGTTTTAATTGCTTGACTGTATGCTGCACAGTCACACCCATATCAATTTGTTAAATGAATAAATATTTTATAGATATACAAAAGATACATAACCCTGTCAATGATTGCCAAGATAGACAAAGCATATGACAACAAATGTTGGAGATGCCACAACAAAGTTGGAGCATTTTCAGACATGTGGTGGTAATGTAAAAAAGCTCAAAAATACTGGAAATAAATGCATCAAAATATTCAAAAAATCCTAAATATAAAATTGAAACTGAAACCACAGATTTATCAACTTTTATCCAGAAAGCATAAATGAAACATATCACAATTTACTATGTTGACAATGAAAAGAACAAACTTGGCACAACACTGCAAAAGAGAAACCTTGCCGACATTCGATTGGGAAGCTAAAATTGGAGAATATGCTGCAATCAAAATTGACAGCATATATCCATAACAGAACTTTAAATCAAATTCAAGCAGGAATGGCTCCATTATATACAACACATTACACAGTAAGACAAATTTAGACACTAAGAATATGGTTTCTAGGACTAGCAACAACCTTTAATATTCAGTGTAAAGTATAGATATACAAATGGAAGGGAAAGGGAGACTGTGTTACTAGAAACTTTTTTCATAATACTTTTAATCTGTATCCAGTAGCTATTTTGTTTCATCTTATTTTCTTTCTTTTCTCTTTTGTATTTCACTGTTTCAACAATAAAAATGTTTTTTTAAAAAGAAGTAGGTGTAGAAGAACTAATTCTCAGTTACATCAGCTGAAGATAATATATTTTTCAGTGTCACTGTTCTTTGGTTCTACTGAATGGACAATTAACTGGGCAACCTCCCTTCACAGAAGTCCTACTAAAATAATTTATTTCTTCCCCGCTGCTGCTGTCATTTGTTTCATACCACTAATAAATTTCTTCTCTTTTTTTTCACTAATATGAAATATCTCCCAGTTATCAGTTAAAATTGCTTAAAAATAATTATCATAATAAAATATGCCAAAATTCATACATATGAAGAGTATCTTTGAGTATATCTATCCCTGTAGGCATATTATTGAATCTAAATTTGAAATGCTTCTTTTAATACAAGAACTGTTTGCAAACATACCGCACAACAGAATTTTTTGTACAACAAAAAATATTAAATTTGAAGTCATCACAATATGCAAAAGGATTATATATATATATAATTAGAAAGGCTATATAATCAGAATTCTGTTAACACTGATGACAGAAAAAGTTTGTTTATATGGAACCACATATATATACTTTGTGTGTATGTGTGTGTGTGTGTGTATGCTAAAAGGGCATTTGCAATTTCTAGGATAAGTTTTTAAAGGAATAAATGATACATTAAATTATATCCTCTCTGATATTCAATAGGACCTGTTCTTAAACAGGTTCTTAAACAGTTGCAAGATCCGAAATTCAGTTCAGTTGTGAATATAGGCAGTCCTCACTTAGTGAACACAATTGGGCCTGGTAACTCAATTGCTAAGCGCCATGGTCAGTAAGCAGAAAATCACATGACTGTGACAGGCTTATGACCTTACTTCCTCTTTGGTTGTTAAGCAAAGCATTGTGGTTGCAAGCAAAACATCACATGATTACAACTTACGATTTTACTTCCACTGTCTCTATTAACTCTGCTTGTCACAAGCCAGTTGCAAAGCACACAAATACTGATCATGTGACCATTGTAAATGTGAGGATTGGTCACAAAGCATAATTTTGAATGGTCACTAAATGAGACAGTTGGTAAACGAGGACTACCTGTACATTCAAAATAAATATAATCTACAAAGATTGCTATGTGCAATACATTTCTAACACAACTTTGTTATATTATCTTTTTTAAAATTGTGTTAGTGTTGGATTTGTTTCCAAACTTCATCCATAAAATATGTATAAAGAAAGAAAGGATCCTATTTGACTAATTCCACTTGACCAATTCTCAAAATGTCTTGTAAGATAAGTCAGTAGACACAGACTATAAACAGCTATGAAGGCCACCCCTATTCCTTTTTACTTATAGGGGTTGTTAATTGGATTTTTAGTGATAGTTTGATTTTAATTTTAATCTTTACTGATGTATACCACCCAGAGTCATAAATTACACCACCCCTCAGTGAAGCAGTGTCACCTGGTAGAGCCTCATAAGTGTGCCCTCTTTGTCATGGCACCTACCTTAAGGAACAGCCTTCCCCCGGAAATACAGTTCGGCCTTCAGAAAGTGGTGAAGATCTGGCTTTTTCCCCCCAGGCACTGGAGTAAAGAAGTCGATAGAGCTGGCATGGGGTGGCTGGGGGATGAATGCAAGTTTTATTGGGCTTCAACATTGTTTACTGTTTAAATGGTCATCTTACTGTTTTTGATTTTGTTCGCCACCCAGAGTCCATTTTGGCAGATGGGTGGTGATATAAGTTTCTGTAATAAATAATACATAAATACAAGTATGAATTGGATAGCCTTATAAACTTGTTAAATAAAATAAATCCTAGAACTTGGAATCTCAAGTTTACAAGAAGTATATCTCTGTACCTTTCCTGAAACACAATGAATTTTTCTAACAGGTTAAATACTTGGGAAGACATGATCTTTGGCAATTGCAAAAGAACCCATATCAGCCTGATGGATCAAATTCTAATGCTGAAGGAATACAAGACAATGAAGAAAACAGTGATATAGAAAGTATAGAAGTAAATAAAATCCTAGACCTGTAGATTGGTTTAGCTCAGACAATATACTATATACCAAAGTAGATTCGATAACACCTTCCATACTAAGCCTTGGTAGATCTTGGAAATAATTCACAAAGAAACAAAACAGACCAACATGAAACAAAGGGAACAAAGACGAAGAGCATTTTGCTAGAGTTTATGTTTTTTTTAGGATGACTTTAGAAGCTAATTCTAATGAGCAACATTAATGGGCCAATGAGCAACAATGCATCAGAGAACTGTTGAGCAGAACAACTACTGTCAGAGTTTACCAAGCAGATGAGAATAAGTGAGGATGTGACAACTTTCCTTTTAGTTTTTTTTTCTTTTTTTTTTCTTTTTTT